CTGCCTTCCTGGCTGCTTCGGTAAGGGAGGTAGGGTTTCTGTCTCTTACCCACTCCTGTACCTCGCTGTTTACTCCTTCATAAAATTGCTCCAGCAGTACCATTTGCAATACATCCTCCATAGACCGTGCCTTGCTCGCTTGCACCCACCCCAAGACTGCTCGTTGTAGTCTGCATGCCCACTCAGCATGTGAGTCTTTCTCCACCTTCTTTAGATCCCTGAATCTCCGCCGGTATGCTTCTGGTGTTATAGCATACCTGGCCAGTATAATTTCTTTCACTTTGTGATAATTCCGAATTTCATCATTCGGTACAGTCCGGTATGCCTCAGCTGCCCTCCCAGTTAACCTTCCTGCCAAAATGGGTACCCAGTCCTCTGCGCTGATTCTATGTAGTGCACACAGTCTCTCGAAATCTTGCAGGAAAGAGTCTATATCTTCCTCTGCCTCCACATATGTTTTAAAAGCCTGGTACGGTATTTTCGGCTTACCTTCATGTGGCATATTTACTGCAGAGCTGCGTTCTGGGGCCGCTGTTTGACTCCTCAGTATAAACTCCTGGACCTCCGTTAACGTTTTGGAAATAATCTCTGTTGGAGGGTGTTCCCCATAGAAAGACAGCCGAAATTGTACCTGTCTCTGGAACTCCCTTTGTTCCGGTGTTTCTCCCGAATTCCCTTGTTCGGGAACCGAATCGCCTTCCATTCGGTACTCCGCCATCAGTTCAGTGATAAGTGCCGCTTTTGTCTTATTGCTGGCTTGTATACCCCTTGCCTCCAGAAGGTCTTTTAGCGTGGAGCGTTTTAGTGTGGCAAAATCAATCTCCATCCGTACTCCATTTAGGCTTGTTCCTCTGTGAGTCTGGATCCCAGCGCTGCCAACCAATGTAGCGGAGATGCAATAGTACCCAGGTTATCTCCGCTTATAATCCAAGTGAGACTCAGGAACAAGTAAATAGTAAGTCCAAAGGCAGGGTTTCCAGCAGGTAAAATACAGCAATATCCCAACAGCAATCCCAATAACTGGACGACACACAGTTTCAGGAGCATAACTCACAAGCCTTTAATCACAGTCTCCTTATAAAGCATGCTCCCATGCAAGGGAGGGATTTACAGTAATTATTACAGTAGCCAATCCTGTCCTGGTAACCTCCCACACATCCCCTCCCCTCAGCTAGCATCATAATCCCCTTAGCCAGCACACCAATTCCCCCAATTTCTGGATGTACCCCTAAACGTAGGGGTACCCCTTTAAATCATACATCCCCGGGTAGCCCTGATCTGGGTGAACAACATATCCAAAAATCACCCAGATCGGACCAGGGGTTCGGGAAAAGTATGGAGGGAATAAAATGACCGACCGCACGAACAGAGATAGCCGAATTTGGTTCCATGTGAATGGGCCTTGCGGTCGGTCCTGGCATAAGGGAATAAAATACACGAAAGCCTCTAGCTATAGAGGCTAGGGAGGGTTCGCCTGAATCCCCTCGTTCGGTATTCTCTATTTACCGAACGAGGGGCCGTTCGGTAGTTTGGAACCGAACGGACCAGGGCTGCGGAGGTCTCAGCGGTGTTCGCCTACTCGAGTGTCCGATTTTAGTTCCAGACACTCGACGGCAAAACACCGCTGTTCGGGAGTTTTAAAATGGCCGCCGCCACGTGTTCGTTTGTCGAATGGCGGTCACCCCCGAGAACAAAGGACGGCTACTTACTGTTCAATTACCCATTCGCAACAATGTTGCAACGGGTAATTGAGGACACATTTCACACAGGGAGGTCTGGTTGTTCGGTAGTTTCATTCGAATAAACTAAGGGAATGAAACTACCGAACAATCAGAGGAATACAATTCTTTTTCAATACACAGAAAATACAGCAGATACACGGATGCAGCTTTATACAGTATTTTTGTAGGGTCGCCTGGTGCAATCCGCTACATACTTACTGTATCATTACATTGATATTATACCCTGTACATTATCAGTATAATCTGTGTATCATTATTATACTTACTGTATCATTACATTGATATTACACCCTGTACATTATCAGTATAATCTGTGTATCATTATTATAGTTACTGTATCATTACATTATAATTCTAACCTGTACATTGATATTATAAGAAGGAGAAGGAGAACTACTACAACAAGAGGACATAGTCTTAAATTAGAGGGGCAAAGGTTTAAAAATAATATCAGGAAGTATTACTTTACTGAGAGGGTAGTGGATGCATAGAATAGCCTTCCAGCTGAAGTGGTAGAGGTTAACACAGTAAAGGAGTTTAAGCATGCGTGGGATAGGCATAAGGCTATCCTAACTATAAGATAAGGCCAGGGACTAATGAAAGTATTTAGAAATTGGGCAAACTAGATGGGCCAAATGGTTCTTATCTGCCGTCACATTCTATGCTTCTCTAACCTGTACATTAAAGGTGCACTATAGGGTCAGGAACAGAAACATGTATTCCTGACCCTATAGGGTTAAAACCACCTTCTAGCCCCCCTGGTTCCCTCATGCCTCCCTAAAAATAGAAAACATACTTGTATTCAAGCCTGAAGCTCCTAGCTCTTGCTCGGTTTCCTTTAGACCTGCCCGCTGACATCAGCAGAAGTGGTGGCCTGGTCCAATTACAATGCTTCTCCATAGGATTTACTGAGACTGAATTGTGCTGGCTCTGCCCCTGATCTGCCTCCTTGTCAAACACAGCCCTGGCCAATCAGCATCTTCTCATAGAGATGAATTGAATCAATGTATCTGAGGAAAGTTCAGTGTCTGCATGCAGAGGGAGGAGACACTGAATGTTTGGATGCATTTTAGGCAGCCATGATCCAGGAAGGATCTCTAACAGCCATTTGAGGAGTGGCAAGTGAAGTTCTTCTCACTTCCTCTCACCATCATTGCCTCTCCTCATACCTTCCTCTCACCATCATTGCCTCTCCTCATACCTTCCCCTCACCGTCACTGCCTCTCCTCATACCTTCCTCTCACCGTCACTGCCTATCCTCATACCTTCCCCTCACCATCCCTGCCTCTCCTCATACCTTCCCCTCACCGTCACTGCCTCTCTTTATACCTTCCCCTCACCGTCACTGCCTCTCCTCATACTTTCCCCTCACCGTCACTGCCTCTCCTCATACCTTCCCCTCACCGTCACTGCCTCTCCTCATACCTTCCCCTCACCGTCACTGCCTCTCCTCATACCTTCCCCTCACCGTCACTGCCTCTCCTCATAGCATCCCCTTACTGTATCTTTTTATACCTTCCCTTAACCTCACTGCATCTCCTCATATCCTCACCAGTATTTCACTGCATCTCTCTCTCCTTTTATCTTCATATTCACTGCCTGTCACTGCGATTCTGTCTTCAATCCATCTCTTTCAAACCTTCTCCTAACCTTCATTGTAACAAATATCTTTGTGACGAGACCAATCTCGCCACATTGCATTGGAGGAGCCTGGTTGCCCACCTGCTGCCTTTGGATTATGGACCGGCAGCTAAAGGGTTAATTTTACTGTGCAGAAGGATTTATAGATTGTAGATTCTATCTACCGAACAAACAGTTTCTTTTCAGCCTTCCCAGAGCCGTGGGAAGCCGGCCGGCGACCTTAATTGGCCACCCAGAAGCTGGAGTGCGCCCTCCATTTACCTCCCTGAAGCCACGGTTAACCGCGGCTTAACGAGCGTGTGCCGGCAATTGACCACTGCTTGACCCTCAACACGGAGCCTTGTCTCGTCTTTGGGGGGGATTTACTGTATGCTGATAGAGACTGATTGCTAGGAGTGTAAGCCGCTTGGATGCTTTTCCTATTCGTCTGGTAGCAGCAATTCGTATGGTTCCTGTTCGTCTGTTTGGAGTGCTATATTGGATGCCGTTCGGGAGTTTGGAGCATTCACTTATTGGCGGTTCATGTGTTTGGTGTTCTGCAGTAGCTGTGCCTGCATCTCTGGAAAGGGGGCCGATCGCCTAAACGGTTTTTACCCCCTTTGTGCAAAACAGTCCGTTACAATTGGTGGTAGAAGTGGGATCGTTCCTACAGCCAGAAGGTAAGCTACAGGAGACACCATTTCTTTGGATTTTATAATTTGTGGGCAACGCATGTCCCAGTACAGCGACCCTGACAGCACCGAGATGGAACCAGCAGTGGAGTATGATGAGGGTGCCATGGATGACCGAGATGCAGTCCGTAAAGGCATCTGGTACCAGGCACTGGGTATTGCGGAGTACCAGCGGGGCGAGAGATTCCCCAAGGAAGACCAGCGGTTGCAGAAGCGAGTAGCCCTGCGGATGCCCTTCCTGGGAGAGCAGCCCCTGCAGGAATGGGTGAGGAAATTGGAACACCTAGTATGGCAGGAGATGTGGCTAGAAGATGCCTACCAGGCGCTCTGGTGGTATGGGGCACAATACCTGCCCTGGACAGCCGAGCATGACAAGCCAGAGGGAGAGGAGTTTGATGGTCCTGGCTTGTTATGGGAGACTTTTGCAGAGCCTGAGTTTGGGAGCGCTACACAAGCCCGGTTCAGTGATCTCTTTGAGTGGAGGGAGAGCAGGTATGACTGGGACGACACTCACGAAATTGAGCAAGACCTGGTCCACCTGGTGACCCGAGAGATGGAGCTGGAGCAGGGTTACCAAAATCTGTTCCACTCCAGTGAGAAGGCTCAGCAGGGAAGCGGAGACCCAGATCCAGACCCATTCAGCTGGGAAGATATTGTGGAGTGTTACTGGGAAGAACCCCAGGTGGCCGGTGGAGATGGGACCGAGGTCTCTCCACCGGTCCTGCAGGGAATTGGGAGCCCAGTCTCAATTCCCCAGCGGCCGTGTGATTTATTGGGAATTGGGAGCCCAGTCTCCATTCCCCAGCGGCAGTGTGATATGCCGGGAATTGGGAGCCCAGTCTCCATTCCCCAGCGGCAGTGTAAAGTGCAGGGAGAGGAGAGCAGCGTCCTCCCTCCCCAGCGGCAGGCTGAGTTACAGGGGGCAGAGGTAGTTGTTCCTGCCCCCCAGCAGCAGAGTGATATGCCGGGAAGGCAGTGTGAAGTCCAGGGAGAGGAGAGCAGTGTCCTCCCTCCCCAGCGGCAGGCTGAGTTACAGGGGGCAGAGGTAGTTGTTCCTGCCCCCCAGCAGCAGAGTGATATGCCGGGAAGGCAGTGTGAAGTGCAGGGAGAGGAGAGCAGCGTCCTCCCTCCCCAGCGACAGGCTGAGTTACAGGGGGCAGAGGTAGTTGTTCCTGCCCCCCAGCAGCCGAGTGATATGCCGGGAAGGCAGTGTGAAGTGCAGGGAGAGGAGAGCAGTGTCCTCCCTCCCCAGCGACAGGCTGAGTTACAGGGGGCAGAGGTAGTTGTTCCTGCCCCCCAGCAGCCGAGTGATATGCCGGGAAGGCAGTGTGAAGTCCAGGGAGAGGAGAGCAGTGTCCTCCCTCCCCAGCGGCAGCGTGATTTTTTGAGAATTGGGAGCCCAGTCTCCATTCCCCAGCGGCAGTGTGATGTGCCGGAAATTGGGAGCCCAGTCTCCATTCCCCAGCGGCAGTGTGATGTGCCGGGAATTGGGAGCCCAGCCTCCATTCCCCAGCGGCAGTGTGATGTGCCGGGAATTGAGAGCCCAGTCTCCATTCCCCAGCGGCAGAGTATCCAGCAGGGAATAGAGAGCCGAGTCTCCTTTCCCCAGCAGCAGGACTCTGTATTGGGAGGAGAGACAGTCGGTCTCCCTCCGCAAAGACTGGAAGTATGTCTGGGAGAGGAGCTCGTAACCACCTCTCCCCAGCGGCGGACCATTAATGGGCAGGGAATAGAGAGCCCAGTCTCCATTCCCCAGCGGCAGAGTGTTCTATCGGGAGAGGAGCTTGTTACCCCCTCTCCCCAGCGACAGCTTAATGTACCAGGGGGAGACTGTAATATTTTATTTAGTTTTGTAAAATGCTTCCAAAATTAAACAGAATAACAAAATAAATAACAAAATAATAATAATAAACAATCAACTGAAATAATACCCAATTCAAACATAATACCAAATGAAACATAAATACCCCAAAATTAAACATAAATACCGAAATAAAAACTCAGGAAGGGGCACTAATAGGGGAGTAAACTTATACCAAATTAAATAACTGGGAATAACAGGGAGAGGGATTAACAGAAAAGGGGGGGGAACTAAATCATAAGGGGATAAATTAAAAGGCGGGGGGCTCCATTACTTCATGGAGCCTTGGGGAGGGAGAAAAAAGGCTGAAATGCTCCTGAAGGAGCTCTTACATAACAAGGGGAGGACAAGGGGGGACCCAATTGACCTCGAGTCCACAGCCAGCTAAACACAAACATAAACCAAGCGTGAAATAAAATACACACATAAACATAAACAAATCCATTACCCACATGGAGTCCTTTTCTCAGTTCATAAAACCCACCAACCACATGGAGTCCATCCCTCCGTCCATCAACACCAACCCACCACCTACACTTTAAACCCAAACTTTAAACCCAAACCCACCACCCAAATGGAGTCCATTTTCAATTCATAAAACCCACCACCCTCATGGAGTCTATCCCTCCGTCCATCCCCCAAACCCACCACCCAAATGGAGTCCTTTTCTCAGTTCATCACATCCAAACCCACCACCCACATGAAATCAAAATTTTGTCCATAGACCCACCACCCACATGAAATCCAGTTTGTACACCACCCTCAAGGAGTCCATCCCTCCGTCCATAAAGAAACCCAGTGTTTTTTTTGTTTTTTTTTTCCCCCACCCAAAGTAAATTTTTCAATTTGTCCATACACCAGAAACCCACCCTAACCCAAACAATACCAAAAATAACCTGTGCATAACCATAACCATAACCTAACTACACTGCACTACCTAGACGCAGAGGAAGGTACTCGTCTGCTAAAGGTGGCAGCCTTCCATGAAAAGAAAAACCAGTTCAAAATCTACGGGGGAAAGGTGAAGACAGATTTGGAATTCCCTTCACCAAGACAAGGGTGCCCATGGAGCGGTTCAAGGCGGGTGGACCTTGAGATTTCGCCACAAACGCTGCCAAATGGTGGGATCCATAGAGGCCCTTTCGGTGGTATAGATCCCACGAACCGCCCTCAGAATGTCTGCTACCACCACCTGACAGGAAAGGTCTTTATGTTGAAGGGAAACCTGACACCTTGCCATCCAAGTGAAATACTTAACCACTGAACTGACTACATAAAGAGTGCCCAAATCAAAAGCCCTCCCCCTTGAGTTGGACGTCCCGTACGCCCACTCCGCATAAGTCCAGCGGGATAAGCAGGGGATGCCTAAGGCGGCTGAGACCTCTTTGTAGACCTGTACGTTAAAGGGGCACTCGAGGAGGAAGTGGTCCATGGACTCCACTTCCCCGGAACATTCCACCCGAGGACAACCACGATCCGTTATGTTCCTGTACTTCAAGTTCCCTCGAACGTAAAGTCTACCGTGGAAGGAGAGAAACGCCACGTCTCGGTATTTCTCCGGAAGGCGCCTGGAGTTGATGTTTTTCAACCCCGAGGCGAGAGTACTTGGCGGGCAGTCCTTCAAAGCAAGCTGAATGCCAAAGTGGGTGGCCAGGACCCTCCCGTCGAGAAGCTTCTTGGGAGTGTCCCGAACCTCCTCCACCGTGACGTTCCACCTGCGCAGAATTCCCACTCCCTCGATGACCGAAGACGGAAGATAGCTAGAATGCCGAACTCTCATGCTCTTCACCCTCCCACCCTGAAACCAGTCCACCAGGAAAGGTGTGACCCACTCCCTGAATATACATACCCAGCCAGGCTGCTCATCCTTCAGGAGAGCCCCAAAGTTCCTTTTCAGGAAGTTGTTAGTTAAAAAGACGATGGGGTTGACCATGGCCAGACCCCCGTCCTTTCTGGCCAGGTAAGTGACCTCTCTTTTGATGAGGTTCAGCCTGTTCCCCCACAACATGCGGAAGAACACGCAAACATCCGAGCGTGGAGGGACCTGGGCAAAAGGAAGATGTTACTGACGTAGCCGAATACGGTCAGAACATAGGTTTTGATTAAGTTCACCCGTTCTCTGAATGTCAGTTTCCACCTGTGGCTCTCCTCCACCTTGCTAGAAGCTATGGCAAGCCGTTCGGTCCAGTTCCTGAGAGCCAGATCCCCTGGTCCGAACACCACCCCCAAGATCTTAATTTCAGGCTGGGCCCTCGGGAAACCGTCTGGAAGAGGGAACTGGTCCCCCTCCTTCCCGCACCAGAAAACTACGCTCTTGTCCCTGTTGACACGAGAGGCTGAAGCGGCAGAATACGCTAGGATTAAATCATCCACCTCCGTGGCCTCCCGAGTATTGGAGACCACTATGGAGATGTCATCAGCGTAGGCAACAACCCGTAAAGGCCTCTCCGGAGCCCTGGCCACTCCCTGTAACGTGCCTGCCTCGACCCTTCGGATGAAGGGATCGACTGCAAACACGTACAAGAGTGGGCTGAGAGGACAGCCTTGCCTGACCCCGGATCGGATCCTAAACGTCCTGCCCCTCCACCCGTTCACAAGAGCGAAGCTTTCGGCCCCTCTGTACAAGGTGATTATCCAATTGACGAATTTTCCCGGCAAGCCATACTTCCGCAAGACTGACCACAGATAACGGTGATCTACTCGATCAAAAGCTTTGGACTGATCAAGTGCCAGAAGGTATATCCCCCTTTCTCCGTCCCTGCACTTCTCGAGGGCTTCCCTGACTTCGAAAACGGCATCAAAGACAGTTCTGCCCTCGATTGAACAGTACTGGGAGGTGGATAGGACACGCCTCGCTAGGCCCTGTACTCGTTTCATCAAAATCTTTGCCAGGACCTTCCTGTCGACATTTAACAGGGATATGGGGCGCCAGTTCCCCACATCCGCTGTGTCGAGCACGTTCGGCTTGGACAGCAAGATCAGGGCAGAAGTCCTCATCGAGGGTGGCAATAATCCTTGAGCCAAGCTCTCATTAAACACCTCGGTCAGATGAGGGGCCAAGAGGTCGCAGAACTGTTGGTAAAACTCGGCCGTCAGACCATTAGGACCTGGCGACTTACACTTGTTCTGCTGTTGGATACTCTCTGTGACCTCTTCTATGGTGATCTCGCTGACCAACTCGTCAAAAGAGAGGTCGCTATGCTCAGGGAGCGTGAGCTCGCACAAGAAGTCATCCACCCTTCTCCCGTGGGAGGTTCCCTCCTCGCTACATTGGGGGCTGCCCTTTCCAAGGAGCTCAATATAGTAGTCGCGGACCACCTACAGAATCCCGCGAGGAGACTCCTCTAGGGTCCTGTCGGTGCCCCGCAGACTAGGGATGGACTTGGTACCTTCCTTCCGCTTGCAGCTAAGATAAGGATCGGGCGAGCGGTATGACCCATGATCCCTCTCTTTTACAAGGGAGGCGTACCTGTCATACTGATAACTCCTCATCAGGTTTTTAACTGCCGCAATGTCCTCGGGGTCACCTCCCTGCGAGATCAGGATGTCTAACCTCCCAAGCAAGCCCAGATACATCTTGTACCTGGAGGACTGCATGTTCCGGGCGAGATTGTGAAACAGCCGTTGAGTTCTGGCCTTCACCATCTCCCACCACTCAGACTTCGTTTGGCCTAAGTCGGCCAATGTCATCTGATCGTGAAAGAATTCCATGAAGGCTTGCTGAACCCTCTGTTCCACCAGGAGGTCTGAATTTAGCCGCCAGATCCCTCTACCCTTAGGTGGGGTACTATAGACGTTCAACTCGCAAGACAAAATGTGATGGTCGGAGAACTCCACCGGTGTAAGCACGGGTGCCGCCACCGGGAAATTCTCCTTAAAGAAAAACCTATCTATCCTACTCTGACAGCTACCTCTGTGATAAGTGTACCCACCCGTGGGATTGGGAGTGTGATGAAGGTACACATCGACCAATCCAGCCTGACTAACCATCTTATTTAAAAAATAGGAGTCATACCCCAGCCTCTGAGTGGCGTCTCTCCTGTCTTGAGGCCTAGTTATGGTGTTAAAGTCACCGCCAAACAGGATTTGCTAGGATGTATAAAGGTAAGGCTCTATCTCAATAAACAGGCGCTTCCTCTCCCACTTAGATTGGGGGCCATAGATATTAATTATCCTGAAAGGTTGCCTGCCCATTGAGACATCTAAAACCACACACCGTCCTTTTTGCAACTCAATAACCCTGTTGATGCTAACATCAACGTCCTTAAATAGGATGGCGATTCCCCCATATCTCTCTGTGGCTAGAGAGAAGTAGGAGGGCCCCCATCTCCAGTCCCGCTTTGCAGCGTGCAGGGCCGCGAGGGTTTCCAGCCGGGTCTCCTGTACCAAGATGACATTGTACGGAGCCCGGCTGAGGTGGTCGTAAACCAAAAAGCGGGCCCTGCTGGACTTAATGCTGTTTACATTCACCGTAGCCACAGAGAGTACAGGAAAAGTCGCCATAAGGGCATTAAGTATAAGGAGACTTTCCCTTCCTTCTGCGGTACCCCTCCTCCTCCGTGTCGGAACCGAGGAACCTCTTCACTGAGACTCCGGGATACAGTGGCCCGTCGTCTCTCAGAAGCACCTCCTGTCCCACCTCAACCCCTGCCACCACCTCGGGGAGGTTCGCCATCTCCTCCTCGTACTCACAGTCGGCCCAGCTGGAGGACAGTGCCTCGTACCTGTTAGATACGGGCACCGGGGCCTCCTGCAAGCCCGAAGAGGAGGATGACGCCCGTGCCACACCACCCTTATAAGTGGCGTCTCCCCCTTTCGGGGGTTTCGCCGCAGGGGGTATGGCGATCTTCCGGGGTGAGGGCAGCGTCGAGGTCTTGGAGGGGGGGGGTTTCTTACCTTTCACCGTGCTCCACTCTAGGGACTGTGCATCTAAGGGACGTGCATCTGGGGATTTTTCAGTGGGGGTAACCTTCACCGTGGAGAATTTAGGAGGGGGGGGCCTAGGGGGAGGGGGTCTAGGGGGAGCCATAATGGCTGTGGAGGTAGTGCGTTCTCTACGTACACTTTTCGTGAGGGGACGTGAACTTGTGGCCTTCCCAGGGTCCTGAGATGTTACAGAGACCGAGGGGAGGATGGGTTGTTGCTGGGGCAGGGAAACCCCTGTGCCAGAGATGGGCCTTGTAGATGACGATGCTACCTGAACCCCTAACCCAGCAGAGTCCATCTCCACCGGCTCCTGACTCCAGATGGACTCTACATTGTGCTGGGCTTCGGGGCAGGTGCGGTACGTGTGACCCATCTCTGAACACAGATGACACCGGATCTCCCTGCAGCTGTCCCGGAGGTGCCCCACAGCGCCGCACATAGTGCATTTGAGGACCGTACAGGCATTGCTGTAATGCCTGTACGATCCGCACTTGTGACATACCCTGGGCTGACCAGGGTAAAAACAGGATACCCGGTCAGCCCCGATGAAAAAACTATTAGGCATATGCTGTGTGACACCTCGAATCTCCCGCAGCAACACTGAAACAGTCCATCCGCCTGTCCAAATCCCATCCTCATCTAAGATCTTAACAGGGGGGGATTTAACATCCCCAAACAAGGATGTCTGCTATGGGGATGGATTCATTTCTCACCAGGAAAGTGACCTTCTTAAGACCCTGGCGAGAAATGGCCACAGCGGTGAATCCTGCCCACTTTGTACCCTGTGCAGACCTGGCCGCTTCCCACCCAGCCCAGAAGCGATCCAGGAGCTGCGACGTCATAAAGGAGACATCGAACTCCCGGGTGCCCGAGGCATGGATGAGCGCGTACAGGTCCACGGGCGCAAATCCCATATCCTTTAGCCGGGTCACCAGCCACCGTCTGTCAGGCACCTGGGTCTCACCCCCACAGATGAGCCGTACCACGTTCCTCCTGTTCCCAAAGGAAACCTGAGGACGCGTAGCAGGCCCGTCCGCAGAGAGGCGAGGTGGCCCAGATGCCCAAGCATTGGGCGCACCGGGACCCGCCGTCTGGGAATGATTCGGACGGACTCCCCTCGCTGAACCAGAGGCCTCGGTCACACCAGAACCCTGGGTGACAACCTGGGAGTGCCTAAGGGGAACCTGTGTACCTGCTTGTGCGTCTAAACTATTTATAACCGCGGCACCCTTTGTCAGGGTGCCTGTGCCCGTGCTCGTGCCCGCCACCTGTGTACCAACTAACTCCAGTGAACCAGGGGCAGGGGCAACATAACCTGAGGCGGGGGCAACATAACCAGGGGCAGGGGAAACAGTACCAGGGGCAGGGGCAATAGTACCGGGGGCGGGGGCAACATAACCAGAGGCAGGGGCAACAACACCAGGGGCAGGGGCAACAACACCAGGGGCAATAGTACCGGGGGCAGGGGCAACAACACCAGGGGCAGGGGTAACAACAAGGGGCACAACAGGGGCAGGGGCAACAACACCAGGGGCAGGGGCAACATCATTAATACAAACAGGCTGGCTGTGGACCTTTTTACTAAGGCCAATAGGTCCCATCATTACATTTACAGTTACATCCATACTCCCATCCTCCTCAGCCATCCCTAAACCACCAGTGGAGTCAAACACAATGTTAGTCATACTTTTCTTACCTCCACTGGCGGTTTCCTCAGTATGGACTGCTGGCTGAGGATGATGGGAGTCCCCTGCAGGGCGGCGGGGGGCCCAGATACTTCCACAGAGGCAGGTTGTGCAGGTTTCTGGGGCATACAGGTGTTGCCACCTGCAGGGTTAGTATCCCTGGCCCCAGGCTTCTGCAAGGCCTGAACATCATCATTGTACATATACTCAGCATTTGAGCACTCACCCTCCTCTGTGGAATCTCCAGACCCCCTGACAGAGGTCTCAGGCTGACGCCGGGCAATGTTTTTCTTTTTCTTCTTTTTCTTCTTTTTGTCCTTTACAGAGTCCTCCCCAAGTTCGTTTCCAAACCTGAGGAGAGACTCCTTAATCAGCCCTCGACCTCTGTCCTGTACTTTCAGCTGCCACTCTTCACCTTTCTCTCCATCCCACTCCTCTTCACTGTCCTTCTCTCTGGCCTTCCCCTCCGTCTCAGCAGCGCCCCCTGGAGTAGCAAGGGCAGAGGTAGACGGCTCCCCAGGTGAGTGATGGGAGTTGGAATCCAAGTCCTTGCTGGACTCCTCACCTGGGGACATGTCCCTCCTGCCCTCCATAGCCCTCTGCCTCCTGGACCTCGCAGCGTCCTTGGCTCTCTGTTGCAGGATGGCCTGGATGTCTGCTATTTTCTTTTCAGTCTGGAGCAGGGTGTAGGATAGATGCTGCTCCACTAATTTTTTCTCAGCTATAGCGGCCCTCAAAGGACCTCTTTTGTAATTAGAGGTCCTGTTTGATTTTTCCCTCTGCTCCCTTAGCTCTGCCTGGACCCCAGCTAGGCCCGAGTCTGCCTCAGCATGCTGGGCCTTCAGGGACACAAGCATACCCCGGAGCCTGTCAGAAGGTAGCCCCATAAAGACCCTAGCCTCAACCCCCTCACCCTTTGCAGCCTCAGCATAGGTGAGGGAGGCCTGAGGGGCCTTGCTGGCACTAGCCACCTCAGGGGGGGTCTCAGGGACTACCTCCTCCTCGGTACCCTCTCCCACCTCCAGGGACGGGGGGGGGGGCTGTTCTAGGAAGTGGAGGCCACTGCTGGCAAGTTCACGGCACTCAGCCAGCAGCCCAGAGAGCAGCTGGATATCGGCCCTGGTGTGGGCCGTAGCTCCCTGGGTGACCCCCAACTTCCCTTTTCCATGGTGTACGCTTCCTAGACCATCCCCCAGCCAGTTCCTCCAACAGGGAGACCTGGTTTCGTATTTGCCGGGAGAGGGCCTGATGCTCAGTCCAAGACAGGCCCCTGGTATCCGCCTTACCTTCCCCAAAAGCCAGCACTGCCTGCTCGGGGAGGAAGGCCCGAGGGCCATGCTTGCCTAGGCCCATGCAGAGCCCCTTGCTGTAGTAATTCCAAAGCCCAGAAATCGAGCTCCAAAGCAGCCACAAACGGGTGTGGTCCTGGGAACACACAGATGAAGCACAGAGCAGCTCCCTCTCCAGCAGTAACGGCAAACTCCTCCCACTCCAGTGGGAGGGGAAACTGTAAGCCCCACACCTGTGCAGATGGGACCGTGGTCTCTGCACTTACCACACAAGGGGTAGGGACGGTCGGTCCTATCCCCCCACGACAGGGCTGTTTAGCCAAAGGGGAGACAGTCAATCTCCCCCTCCGGCAGCAGAGCCGTGCACCTAAAGGGGAGACAGTCAGTTTCCAGCAACCAGGCTCCAACCAGACTACTCAGTTGGTAGTACTGGCACCAGGACAGAGTACCACTGGTCTCTGCCCACTCAGCAACCCACCAAGGCAGCCTACCAGTTCCCCACACATCCGTGGTGAGGCACCTGGACATGGACAAGCTTCTCCTCTACCCAGGTGTAGTAACCATTTATTGTGGGTGGGCTGTACTGTTTTTTCTGTTTTGTGGGTGGGCTGCTGGACTAACAAGGGCACTGACCGGCAGGAGGTCAGATACCCTGTTAGTCTGTTTGGAAAAGGGGAGAGATGTGACGAGACCAATCTCGCCACATTGCATTGGAGGAGCCTGGTTGCCCACCTGCTGCCTTTGGATTATGGACCGGCAGCTAAAGGGTTAATTTTACTGTGCAGAAGGATTTATTTCTCCCTTTCTGCACAGCCGTTCGGTAGATTCTATCTACCGAACAAACAGTTTCTTTTCAGCCTCCCCAGAGCCTTGGGAAGCCGGCCGGCGACCTTAATTGGCCACCCAGAAGCTGGAGTGCGCCCTCCATTTACCTCCCTGAAGCCGCGGTTAACCGCGGCTTAACGAGCGTGTGCGGCAATTGACCACTGCTTGACCCACAACACGGAGCCTTGTCTCGTCTTTGGGGGGATTTACTGTATGCTGATAGAGACTGATTGCTAGGAGTGTAAGCCGCTTGGATGCTTTTCCTATTCGTCTGGTAGCAGCAATTTGTATGGTTCCTGTTCGTCTGTTTGGACTGCTATATTGGATGCCGTTCGGGAGTTTGGAGCATTCACTTATTGGCGGTTCGTGTGTTTGGTGTTCTGCAATAGCTGTGCCTGCATCTCTTTAAAGGGGGCCGATCGCCTAAACGGTTTTTAACCCTTTTGTGCAAAACGGTCCGTTACAATCTTCATCCACCTTCACTGCTTCCCTTCTCTCTCTACTTAAACACTTGGACATGACTGTAACTCGTTCTTCAGTCCACCTCTTGCCATCCTTTAACTGTTTCTGTATTCTCAATCCTGCCATTCTCTCTTGCTTTGATTCCTCCTATGACCATATTCCTAATTTTATCTCTCTCCAGTTCTGGTCAGTTTCAAGTCATTCCTAATTACCATTTCCATAAATCTAAATTCTGTGTGACAACAAATCAGCAGGGTCTTGATTAATAGATGAAAATCTAGTGTCCCATTTCTCACAGAAAATACCCACATTCCATTTTTCTTTCCCAATGTATGGTTATGCTAACAGTAAAGCACAATCCCGCCGCTGGGTTACACTGACAGAAATCATCCACAGGTCATCACCTTTGTCCAAGTTGTATGGTGATGCTTACAGACGTAATGTACTTCTATAAATTAATCATTTGCATATTTCATTTATTACAGAGATCATTACAAGGATAATTCTGTCATCAAGGAATCCTAGTAACTGTGACAATGAACAAAGACAAGAATAAGGTGGCTGAGAGAATCTCTGAGTTCACCCTGGAGATCATCTACCTGCTGACTGGAGAGGTGAGGAATTCTGGGTAATGTCACCATGGAGGTCATCTACCTGCTGACTGGAGAGGTGAGGGATTCTGGGTAATGTCAGTATGGAGATCACCTACCTCCTGACTGGAGAGGTGAGGGATTCTGGGTAATGTCATTATGGAGATCATCTACCTGCTGACTGGAGAGGTGAGGGATTCTGGGTAATGTCAGAATGGAGATCATCTACCTGCTGACTGGAGAGGTGAGGGATTCTGGGTAATGTCAGTATGGAGATCATCTACCTGCTGACTGGAGAGGTGAGGGATTCTGGGTAATGTCATTATGGAGATCATCTACCTGCTGACTGGAGAGGTGAGGGATTCTGGGTAATGTCATTATGGAGATCATCTACCTGCTGACTGGAGAGGTGAGGGATTCTGGGTAATGTCATTATGGAGATCATCTACCTGCTGACTGGAGAGGTGAGGGATTCTGGGTAATGTCAGTATGGAGATCATCTACCTGCTGACTGGAGAGGTGAGGGATTCTGGGTAATGTCACCATGGAGATCATCTACCTGCTGCCTGGAGAGGTGAGGGATTCTGGGTAATGTCAGTATGGAGATCATCTACCTGCTGACTGGAGAGGTGAGGGATTCTGGGTAATGTCATTATGGAGATCATCTACCTGCTGACTGGAGAGGTGAGGGATTCTGGGTAATGTCATTATGGAGATCATCTACCTGCTGACTGGAGAGGTGAGGGATTCTGGGTAATGTCACCATGGAGATCATCTACCTGCTGACTGGAGATGTGAGGGATTCTGGGTAATGTCACCATGGAGATCATCTACCTGCTGACTGGAGAGGTGAGGGATTCTGGGTAATGTCATTATGGAGATCATTTACCTGCTGAGTGTAGAGGTGAGGGATTCTGGGTAATGTCATTATGGAGATCATCTACCTGCTGACTGGAGTGGTGAGGGATTCTGGGTAATGTCAGTATGGAGATCATCTACCTGCTGACTGGAGAGGTGAGGGATTCTGGGTTATGTCAGTATGGAGATCATTTACCTGCTGACTGGAGAGGTGAGGGATTCTGGGTAATGTCATTATGGAGACCATCTACCTGCTGACTGGAGAGGTGAGGGATTCTGGGTAATGTCATTATGGAGATCATCTACCTGCTGACTGGAGAGGTGAAGGATTCTGGGTAATGTCATTATGGAGATCATCTACCTGCTGCCTGGAGAGGTGAGGGATTCTGGGTAATGTCAGTATGGAGATCATCTACCTGTTGGCTGGAGAGGTGAGGGATTCTGGGTAATGTCAGTATAGAGATCATCTACCTGCTGACTGGAGAGGTGAGGGATTCTGGGTAATGTCATTATGGAGATCATCCACCTGCTGACTGGAGAGGTGAGGGATTCTGGGTAATGTCATTATGGAGATCATCTACCTGCTGACTGGAGAGGTGAGGGATTCTGGGTAATGTCATTATGGAGATCATCTACCTGCTGACTGGAGAGGTGAGGGATTCTGGGTAATGTCATTATGGAGATCATCTACCCGCTGACTGGAGAGGTGAGGGATTCTGGGTAATGTCATTATGGAGATCATCTACCCGCTGACTGGAGAGGTGAGGGATTCTGGGTAATGTCAGTATGGAGATCATCTACCTGCTGACTGGAGAGGTGAGGGATTCTGGGTAATGTCAGTATGGAGATCATCTACCTGCTGACTGGAGAGGTGAGGGATTCTGGGTAATGTCACCATGGAGATCATCTACCTGCTGGCTGGAGAGGTGAGGGATTCTGGGTAATGTCAGTATGGAGATCATCTACCTGCTGCCTGGAGAGGTGAGGGATTCTGGGTAATGTCATTATGGAGATCATCTACCTGCTGACTGGAGAGGTGAGGGATTCTGGGTAATGTCATTATGGAGATCATCTACCTGCTGACTGGAGAGGTGAGGGATTCTGGGTAATGTCACCATGGAGATCATCTACCTGCTGACTGGAGATGTGAGGGATTCTGGGAAATGTCACCATGGAGATCATCTACCTGCTGACTGGAGAGGTGAGGGATTCTGGGTAATGTCATTATGGAGATCATTTACCTGCTGAGTGTAGAGGTGAGGGATTCTGGGTAATGTCATTATGGAGATCATCTACCTGCTGACTGGAGTGGTGAGGGATTCTGGGTAATGTCAGTATGGAGATCATCTACCTGCTGACTGGAGAGGTGAGGGATTCTGGGTTATGTCAGTATGGAGATCATTTACCTGCTGACTGGAGAGGTGAGGGATTCTGGGTAATGTCATTATGGAGACCATCTACCTGCTGACTGGAGAGGTGAGGGATTCTGGGTAATGTCATTATGGAGATCATCTACCTGCTGACTGGAGAGGTGAAGGATTCTGGGTAATGTCATTATGGAGATCATCTACCTGCTGCCTGGAGAGGTGAGGGATTCTGGGTAATGTCAGTATGGAGATCATCTACCTGCTGACTGGAGAGGTGAGGGATTCTGGGTAATGTAATTATGGAGATCATCTACCTGCTGACTGGAGAGGTGAGGGATTCTGGGTAATGTCAGTATGGAGATCATCTACCTGCTGACTGGAGAGGTGAGGGATTCTGGGTAATGTCAGTATGGAGATCATCTACCTGCTGACTGGAGAGGTGAGGGATTCTGGGTAATGTCATTATGGAGATCGTCTACCTGCTGACTGGAGAGGTGAGGATTCCTGGGTAATGTCATTATGGAGATCATCTACCTGCTGACTGGAGGTGGTGAGGGGATTCTGGGTAATGTAATTATGGAGATCATCTACCTGCTGCCTGGAGAGGTGAGGGATTCTGGGTAATGTCAGTATGGAGATCATCTACCTGCTGGCTGGAGAGGTGAGGGATTCTGGGTAATGTCAGTATGGAGATCATCTACCCGCTGACTGGAGAGGTGAGGGATTCTGGGTAATGTCATTATG